TTTGGCTTATTTTTAGACTTCAATAATAATTCATCATTACATCTTTTTTTTGAGATTAAAATTAACTTCCTCAATAACTTAACATAACTTTTATAATAACTAATAAATATAGGATCTGATGAGCTTTTAACAATTCTACTCATTTCTTGTTTCTTATCCAATGATTTTTTAATGCCCTTAGTAAGCCATGGTTTTTTACAATTAGTAGCTTTTACAAGTTTTTTTGGAAAGTTTTCTTCAAAATTCAACAATAGTATCCTCAAAAAATTATCAAAAGTTACATCTATTTCATCTTTGACATTAAACACATTATTCCAATCAATATTTGACAAAACTTCTCTAAAATTAATTTTGTTTCTCTCTGAAAAAACACGTTTAAGTTGACTTGATGACTTACTGCTATTTTTTACCTTGTCTGTAAGATTCAATTTCAAAAGTTGAGCATTGTGGTCAGATAATCCGAAATCAACTACCCTTGTTTCACTTCCCTCCTGGTTGGTTATTATGTAGTCTATGCAAGTTTCCGACCTCTCTGTCACCCTTGTTGGTTCATTAACATGTGAAAACAACCCAAAAGAGTCTAACAGACTAAAAAGCTCAGTTTTTTGTGCCGAGTCGGATAGTGCATCAATATTTAAATCACCACATATAATTACATGTTTCTGTTTTGAATCTTTACTAACTAAATTCAAAATTTTTTCTACCTGATCAAAAAACCCACTGAATGCTCCAGAGGGTGGGCGATATAACGCCACCACTACAGTTGAGGTTTTCTCATAATTGATTTCTACTGCTGCACACTCAATTATATTTTCAATAGAGAGACTTACAAAGTCTCTTCTAACCCTTGAAGGTATGTTGTCTTTTACAGCCACAAAAACTCCCCCCCGTATACTATTAATCCTTCCGAAAAAAGACACTATTTTCCAACCCTCAAGCCTATTAAGAATCTCAAAGTTATCTTCACTTAGCCAATGCTCTGTTACACATAAAATATCTACACTGTATTGGCCTGAATCCAAATAAGCTAATAACTCGTCTATTTTATTGACAATACTCCTAATATTTACATGAAATAACCAAGATTCGAAACTTTTAGGAGAGATTACTTTACAACTGGTCTTTACTTTACAGAAACTTCTGGAGAAAGTAGAATTCCTAAAAAATCCTTAACAGCTGAACAACTAGTATTTAGATTAGAATTATTTACATTGGAGCCATTAACACCTAAAAGACTATTTTCAAGGATATTTTGGTCTGGTTTTGAGGTTGTGAGTGAAAGGGGTGGGAAATCTTCAATACGGAACATAGAAACCGGAAGGGATTTTTTAGTAGGTGATTGCCAGGCTGGATGTTTTGGGGAAGAACTGTGTATGGAAGTTTTCAAGGAAACATCAGGGAAGGGTTCGATCAGAGAGGTGTCGGTGGTAGGTGCAGGAACACTCTCACTAGGCTTGTCACGCCTCACTTCACTCACCGCTTTGGCACTTGTAGACTCAGTCGCGGGTGTCGAGGTAGTTGATCTGCGGCGACGCTCTGCATCTCCGATGAATCCCATCAGAAACTCTCCCAGTCGCTCTTTACCCCGTCGATTAAGGTGGAGCCCATGTTTGGTGAAGTCAGACCTCCTGAGAAAGTAGTTGATGTCTTCATAGAATAAGTTGGGTTCTCCCTTGTAATTCTTGATTAATTTCATAGATAAACGGTTTGCAAAAAATATATCATCGTTGCGGGAGGGGTCGTCATGACGATAGGGCACACTACAAACCAAAACGTTAGTTCTAAGTTGCAATGAAGTAAGTTGTTCTATTCCTTGAGAAATAGTGAGTTGCCCTGGTTCGTAGCGGTGTAGGTCGTTGGTGCCAGCCAGTACGATAACAAAATCGTCTTCATTGAAGTCTCGAATCATTCTAAGCCCGTCTCGAATAACATGTTTTAATTTAGCGCCAGGTTTTGTGTAAACAAAGGTACTATACTCATTTCCCATGCTTTTCAAGTATTTATCAAGATCCTTTCCTTGACTATCTGCCAAAATTGTAAGCTTCTTCTTCTTTTTAGTTTCACCTGTGCATCTTACACACGACTGGCCATTGTTCACTTGTTTAACTTGAGGTGACGCTGACCTGTGCACATCAGCCTGAACCTGCATTTGATGACCAATTGTACCTGATGACGGCGGCGAATTGTCCGATGCCAGCACAGAAAATCTATTGTTCAACTTAATTGTATCACACGTGTTAACGCTAAGGCTCGCTTTAACTGATTTTCTTGGTGTTGTGAATACTGAGTTTGTTGAAGCTGTGGCCGGCATTGTATTTGATGTAATTTTCACTTTTTCGTGAATTTCAGCTTGAAGTATGTTTATTATTGCGTTTTTACTTTTTAACTCTTCCTTTAATCCACTTTGTGACAATTGCAGGCTTTCAATTTCCGATTTCAAAAGTTGAACTTCCTCTTCAGCTCTTCCTTCATAAAAAGATATGTCCTCTAGGTTTAATTTCCTCATCGTTTTCTCCTCCTCCAGTTTTTTTGTGAGAAGTCTGTTTTCCTCTGTCAAAGCAATATTAGTAGTTTTTATAACGTTAATTGCAGTGATTGAGGCGTCTAACTTATTTAAAACCATGGTAATGTCAGGAATCAAGTCGACTATGGCATCTCTGGTGTACTTTTCAGATAGAGTCGAGAGCGTTCCACGAAGATTTACAGCAAAGTCAATCACTTCATCGTTTATAAGGTCACCTTTTCATCACTCAACATCAACATCATCACTCGGGAAACGGAAGCCTGGCGAGCTCTGGCCCTAATCCGGGGTCGAACCCTTTTACGCTTCATTAGGCTTCAGTTCGCACACCAACTAGCTTTCCCTCCAAGAATACCTCTCTCCCCAAAAAGTACCTGACCCGTGGGTAAGAGAGGAGGATGTCTTTGGTGCTCCGGTGGGGGAGGGGTGCAAAGGGCAATGGCTTTGGGGGAGGAAACACTTCCGTTACTGAGAGGGCAACTGATGGGATAGTGACCTTCCTAGAATTGAATTCTTATTGTTGAGATATTAAGTTAAACGAAATGTATTGCAGCCAATTCTTTGAATCACTAGAGTAATAGCATAAAGACGATTCAGGAAATGAGCTAGCTATTTCCGTCTTAAACTTAAGGCCCGTATTACACTATCATAGTTCTATGACATATATCTATTATCATATGTCTTTGATGAAAATTATTACAGTGTAATGTACCAACTATTATAATGGTTTTGAACTATGATAATATGTTCTCCTTGAGAGAACATATTATCATATATTTGATAATATAATATGTCATAGAACTATGATAGTGTAATACCGGCATAAGCATGAGTAATATATGGACGGCTCAGGAAATTACCAAATAGTTTCTAATACATAGTTGTTTCTAGCCTTTATATTTTCTGTTCCCTTAGTGCACAGTTTTTTTTACAATAATAACCAAAAACTTAAATTTTTTTGTGAATTTTATTATCAGTTCATTATTATTGTATATTTATTATTGTGAATTTTATTTTATATATTTGATTATCTATTTAGTCAATCCAATTCATAAGAACAATAAATAGTTTTATATACTAGTTGAGTTCACAATAAAAGTATCTTTAATTTGGACCGTATTTAAATAATGATGATTAAATTTAAAATAATAACGTAGGCCTAGTAACTAGTGTTGCATATACAACATTCGGTTGTGAATTTTCTTGTGCTTTGCCTTGGAACAAAAATTAGGTATATATGAGCGGTCTCTGGAAGATCACGCGGGTTTGGATGAATAGTTTAATGGTGCCTATTGATTTGTTTCTATTGATTTAGGCCAGGGAAGAAATATCTACCTAGGGTTTGCGTCATTGTATTTCTTTTGTCAGCCCCTTCAACATCCAAAAATAAAGACCAGTGAAACCTTTTTAAGAAATGGTTAAATAAATTTGAGAACTTGTGATTTGATTATTAAATTAAAAATTTGGCTGATTTCTTACTTGGATATTTGTCTTAAATACAATTAATTGCCAACCTCTCAAATTCAAACCACTCTTTCTGAAATCAAATTAAACATTTCCAAATGCTATACAATACTTTCTCAAATGCAATTCAATCTTCTCAACTACATTGGTTAATTTATCAAATTCGACTAAATAATTTATTTCACATTCGACATTTTCTAAAATTTATACAATTAACTAGCTGTAACCCGCGGGCTTTGCCCCGTTTAACTTCTTAATTTTCAAGATGATCTCGTTTGCATGGCTCAATCACGTCCTGGTTGAAGTTCGTTCGCTACGCTCACTCGCCTCCAGGTTGAAGTTCGTTCGCTACGCTCACTCACCTTTTGGTTGCAAATTAGCTGTTGTCATAAATGTAAAAGAAATAATAGTGCTAGTGCTGCACCCTGTTGGTAATCCTTGTAACTTTAATGCTATTGAACATCATAGAACAGAACCAACTTGTTTAATTGAAACAGCTGTTAAGATTCAATAATTCCATTTCTCATAAGGTTAACATGGGATACTCCAGAGCCACTGGGGCGGAGCCCGAAAGGATTTTTGAAATAAGAATATGCCTATATGTTAATCGGGAATGTGAGCTATCATCATGCCAAATTTCAGCCCAATCCGACCAGTATTTTTCGAGTTTACTTTTCCCATACACACATACACACATACAGCAACCATACAATTAATAACTTATCAACCAAATGTTGGAAAGATATATGAAGTAAACTGTGGAGCGGTTGTTTTCCCTATATCATTTACTTTTCTAGCTATATGCTAAAACATCTTTGGCATCTACAAAAGGTTAAATAAATATTTTATTTAAATTAAAAGGGTTAAATAAAGCGTAAACAATTTGGTTCAAGTACAAGTTCAAACGGTATCAGCAATCTGACTCATACTAAGCAGTAGCAGTAACTACTGTATGATATTTTATAAGGAAAAACACAAAGGTTGCAATAACTTTTGAACCGTAATTTTTACAGCAATGGGTGGTAAAACCCGGAACTCAAACGTAAAACTGAGTTATTGACATGTCATTAACATACTATGCATTAAGGTTCATTACATAGCACACAAATTGCACTACAGACTTTTTTTTAGTTACTACACTTTAACTATACCGCATTGTTATGTTGTTCAATTGTTATAAAAGCTCTTTATTTTTTTCTTAGCTTAATGTGTTCTTAGCATTACGTTTAAATACTCACTCCGCAGCAAGCCTGCAGACTAAGTGAATTTAAAATTGTCTGTATGAATGTTCGTAAAAATTATAGAGAAATTCGCGAAATCAAATCAAATACACTTTCTTAACTCTACTCACATTATAGGCGTTCATATTATTATTATTCTTGTTGTTTTTTTTTAGCCTTCGAATCCAACCAACTTCAAGGAACACACCCAACCCCCCAATGAGGTGACGAAAGAAGTGACGAAGGTTCGATTGGCACTCCGTGAAGCATCTCAACGAGTAGACGTTAAACCAGTGCAAGCCCTGGCGACTACTCTTCGGGATACCCCGGACTACGTGAAGGCTCAGCTCGGAAAACTCTCCACCATCAGACGAGATTTGCGGAAGCAACGTGAGAGATCTCTCCCTGCCCTTCCAAGGAACGTCACCGAGTTGGAGATTTCACCGGAGTTTGCTGTGACTGGAGGAGAGGATTCTCGGCCCTTCCTAATCCATGACAGCGGCCCTCGTAGAGACAGGTTCGTCGTTTTTGGAACGCCGGAAAATGTTGATATCTTAGGGAGGGCAAAAGTGTGGTGCATGGACGGAACTTTCAAAACATCTTCAAGACTTTTTCAACAGTTGTACGTAATACGTGTAATCGACGACAATGTGTGTACGACATGCATTTATGCATTCATGACAAACAAAACCGAAATTATGTATAAGGGGGTTTTTGCAGTTGTGCTAAATCAAATAACTCAGCGGGGGCATGCATCACGTCCAGAAATAGTTATGATGGACTTTGAGAAAGGGGCAATGAACGCGGTGAACAATGTTTTTGGTAGTGGTGTACAAGTGAAGGGGTGTTTTTTTCACTTATGCCAGAGCACTTGGCGACACATCCAGGGGAACGGGATAGTGAAACTCTACAAGAGTCGTCCTGACATCAAGCTCCACTGCGGTATGCTGGATGCTCTGGCCTTCCTACCGGTGGCAGATGTACCAGCTGGAATGCTCTTCCTTTGGGCGTCTGCTCCAGTAGAGCTGGCAGACATCCTGCTATACTTCGAGCAAACGTACGTCGGGGGACAGGTCGGCACCAACAGTTCAGCTCCCTTTCCTCCTCCTGTGTGGAACATGAATAGCATTGTTCTCCAGGACCTGCAGAAAACAAACAATTTCTGCGAGTCTTGGAACAACAGGTTCCAGCACCTTGTGGAATGTACAAACCCATCATTCTGGACGGTCCTTCGAGCGATTCAGAAGGACGAGGCTCTGGAGCGCACTAGTCGACTGCTACCATCAGAACTACGACCGGTAAATAAAAAAGAGCGCTCTTTAAGAGAAGTGATTAAGGAAAAATGTATCGAGTACCGCTCAGGTATAATGAACATGGAGACATTTTTACTTCAGGTTGGCTCGAAGATGAGGTTTTAAGGTCTATGGGCGTAACTGTATATATTGTAAATACCTATACTGTTATTAATTTTGTAATGTAAATTATTTTGAATGAATTTAACATTTCAATGTTATGCACTTAATTTATTTTTTTATCTTTTTAAAAAGTTAGTTTGTATACAGTATTATTTGTGTTTGTAATAATTTTTTCTATGTTTGGTTTCTTTTTGGTTTGTTGTAAAATTTAATATCCTTGTAAATATGTATGAGCGAAGTTTTATATATTGTTGTACAGTACTTTTTTTAAATTTGATATTGTAAATCGTTTTCAAACAATCTTATAATTAATATACTCTTATTATATACATACTTTCTTTTTTATCATATATAACAGTTTGTATATTTGTGTTTCTAATTTTTGTTTTATAAATGATTTCCCTTTGTTTTGTTGTAAAAAGTTAATTTCTTTGTAAATAAGTTGTATGAGCTTAGTTAGTTATGCTGTTAATACCTGTACAGTACTTTCATCTATTTTATATTAAATCGTTCTGGCATAACTTAATATTCCTTTATTATGTGCTTCTTTTTATTTTATCAAATTTCATCAGTCTTCTTGCTATACCACAAAATAAATAACGTCTAACATAATTGTTGTATACTGTATATCTAAAACCAATTACAATTCATTATTCACACTAATTATTATGTTTTATTTATTAACTCCTAAAACTACTTTTCAATTTAGTGATGTACCAAAAGCTTTTATAGTATTTAAATAGCTACTTCAAAAAAGTTGATAAGGAAAAGAAAATAGTGATGGAATTCTTCACTTCTTTCTGTGTTTGCTTGCAACATCTAGTAACTTACAAAACAGCGTGGTTTTATT